TAGCCCCATTTTACTGATGAGGAAAGCCACAGGGCGCCCGGACTTGCCCAGGATCACTATGCCTCAGACCCTCTACCTGTCCCTCTCTTCTTCATAAGCTTCTTACTTGAATTTTATGTCCTGGGACTGCGCTCCTGTGATTCTAATCTGAAGGAGGGAAGGGAAGGACTGCCTTAGAGGCACAACACCTAGGTCCAGGCCCTTTTCTCTTACGGATGCCTGCCTGCTTGCCCCAGGAATGGATTATCCTGGATCAGAGAGTAGCCGCCACAGTTTGGCTTATCCTCCAAAGGCAGCTGCAGAGAAGGTTGGCGCTGACCAGGGTGCTGAACCTGGATGGCCCTTCCTCTAACACTCAGCCTAGCTGAGGGGAGGAGGTGGAAGGGAAGGAGACTCCTATGAGACCAACATGACTGTTTTGGGCAGTTTAGTGGAGCTACAGTTTCTGTGGTCTGAAGCTTTGGGAAGGCCACTCAACTGCTCTGGACCTGCTTTTTCATCTGTCCAATGGAGAGAGTTGCTCTGATCCTACTATACTTAGAAGGCAGAGGTGAGCATCCCTTGGGACAGGTGACAAAGCCCTGCACAGACCCCAAGCCCATCTCTGGGCCTGGTGATGGCTCTCAGGAGCTCACCCTCACAGAGGGGCTTCACAGGCCTGTTTCTTCCTCTGAAATAGGGGTTGTGCTGGGTAATTTCCTAATGTGGGTACTCTGGGCGCTGTGGCTATAGATGGAAGTGCTCAACAACATGAGATACACATGGCACACCTGAGAGTCTTAGACCATCCTGGGGATTATGCTGCATTGTTCCTTTTTCACACAAGTTCTGACTTCACTTTCCAGCTTCAGGAATGGGTCCTGCACACAGATCCATGCTCCTCCCCTGGAGACGATCTGGGGATCTGGGTATAGCAGTTCTACAAAAAGAGCACTGGCTTTAGAACCAGGCTGACTCAGGTTCTCCTCATGGTTCTGCCATCCCTAGAGGGGCAAGCCTAGAATGTCAACTACTGAGGCTAACAGTGTTTGCCTTGTGGGTGGCTAGGATGCTACATGAGTAGGAAAAGCTGAGTAGGAACACCTGGGTGGCTCAGCAGTTGAGCGTCTGCCTTTGGCTCAGGGTGTGATCCCAGGGACCTGGGATCAAGTGCTGCATCAGGCTCCTTACAGGGAGCCTGCTCCTCTCTCTGCCTATGTCTCTGCTGCTTTCTGTGTCTCTCATGAATAAATAAATACAATCTTTTTTTTTTTTTAAGAAAAGTTGAGTACACCATGGGTTCCAGATAAATGCTTGTTTCTTGCATTGGAGGGCAGCTTTATGCTGAGCCTTTATCCTCCATCCATATGGCCTCAGTAATAACTGGCACTGAGCTCCAACTATCTGTTTTTAAGATACACTATTTGGTGTATCTATTTGGACACTGCAACAATCCTGAAGGTAGAGGTAATGCTCATTTTGTAGATAAGGCCACATGCCAACAAAGGTAATTCTGTGAGTCATACCCATGCCCACCTGATTCTTAAGACTCCTGCTTGACTTTTGAGCAAGCCAAGCTTACTAGACCTTTTCAAACTCTTTTTCTGGTTTAGAGAAAGAGGACACTACCTCAATATGGTTGTTATGATTTGAAGATATAATGGATGTTATTTTACAAGGGTACATGTATATTTAGAAACATATATGAAACACATGTGAGTGACCCATAGGTGTAAGGGAATGGAGTGGGTATAAGGGATAAAACTCGAAAAACAAAATGAGGGAGTTCTAACATGCATTAGTCATCGTGTGCCACAAACCAAGACGACTGGCTGAATTCTTTGCACCTGATAGCCAAGTGAAAGGAAGTGATACAAAGATTGTACACCAGAGCATCTCAAACTTTTAACCAAGCACCTCAGGAGACTGTTAGGTTCAGGCAAGCTGGGGAACTGTGGCTGTGGTATTCCTCTGTATCCTGGCCCATGGTGCAGCCAGACACAAGACACAGAGTAGACAGAAGCAAAAAGAAAGATGGCCAGCTGTAGGAAGTAGGAAGGAAACAAGGCAAGGAACAGCAGATGAGGACGTGGGGGGCTCTCAGAGGTAGGACAAGTGATCTATGGCACATCAACAAAAGATAAGGATTTGGAATCACACGTTTATTTTCCTTGTAAGCAACTAGGTAAACACAGAAATTGTAAACCAAGCAAGAGTGCCATGAACTGCACTAGACTTGAAAAGGTCAGAGGAACTTCCCTAGAAGTACATCCTAGAAGTACTGCACATTCTGATCAGAATCGTCCCAAGTCAAACCCAATCCCTCTGTAGCTCACCAGCCATGGTCACCCCAGGGGTGACTGGTTCTGATCTCTGTCTTGCTCAGCCTAGGTTAAATTCTTTTCTTTTTTTTTTTTTAAACAGAAGACAAAACTAACCATAATGAAATATCACTTTGCACCTACTAGGATAGCTATATGCAAGAAGACTAACAAGTACTAGTGAGAATTTGGCAAAACCAGAACCTTCATACCCTGATAGTGGAAATGTAAAATGGTGCAGGCAGTCTGGAAAAGTCTAGCAGTTCTTCAAAAAGTTAACTGTTTAAACTGAATTGCCACACAATCGAGCAATTCCATTCCTAAGTATATACCCAAGAGAACTGAAAACCTATGTCTACAAAGAAACCTATTACACAAATGTCCACAGCACCATTATCCACACAAACAAAAAGTGGAAAAAAACCCAACCACTATTCATTAACTGATAAGTGGATGAAGAAAATGTGGTATATATCCACGCAATGGAATATTCTTCAGCCATAAAAAGGAATGCAGTACTGACACATGCTACAGCATGGATATGAATCTTGAAAATGCTAAGTGGAAGAAGCCAGACATAAAAGGTCACATATTGTGTGATTTTACTTATGCAAACTGTCCAGAACAGATCTTGAGATCTTCTCATCTTGAGAGAGAAAAAAGACTAGCGGGTTGCCTAAGGCTAAGGTTAGTGGGGGTGACTGTTAGTAGGTATGGGGTTTCTTTTTGAGGTGGTGAAAATGTTCAGGAATTAGATGTGTTGATGGATGCACAACACTGTGAATATACTATAAACCACCGACACGCACACTTGAAATTTATGAGCATATGATATATCTCAATAAAGCTGTTTTTTTTTTTTTTAAAGAAGGCACAGGTTATGAAGTGCTGTTATTTATTGTTAAGGCTCCCACCTTTCCATTCCACAAGACACATCCACAATACCATTCCTTTTGGCTACTTGGCAACTGCTCACAGCTGGGAGGGGGAAGTGGCCCAGAAGAGGGCAATCACAGACACCATGACTTGAAAGTTCCTGAAGGCCCCATTCACTACACCCACACAACTAAGACATTGTCTATGTTTCTTAGTGTCCCTGATACAAGGAGACACATGCAAAAAGTGGCGGATTCTGCAGAGGAGAATCCCTGAAGTTTGTTTTCAGAAAACAGAATTGTGTATAGGAGCATCCTTTCGACCTCTAGTGCTAGAAAACCTAAGTGGCGAATTTATTGTTCCAATCACCTTTACCTTGAATCATGGTTCTAAAAGTGGTCTACTTTCCCTGCCTGTCTGATGGTTTCTAGTGTGGTGTTCCTTTAAATGCTTCCTTTCATAATAAAGGATGCTTGTGTGACCGAAGTGTCCCAAGTCCTTTCTTTAGCAGGTATGACCCAGTTCCCAAAAAGAAACCTCCATCTACCTGCAGGCCCTGGACTGATGACTGCATTTGCAGCTCTGCCTAATCTCTGAGTCCCTCTCCAGAGTGAAAATGTTCTAAAGGCTTCAAGAGTGTCTTTTACAAGATCGGTGCTTGAGATAGGGCCTGCCAGAAATGCCTGGGGAGCCTGCTCATGCTAGCCTCCTGACCCAGACCCCAACTTAGTTTACCCCTAACCCACTCTCAGGCAGGGCAGACAGGCAGTTCCAGTCTATAGCATATTAGCAGACACCTCAGGAAGGCTCTGGTAGCTTATCCTCTACCCACAGATAAATATTATGTCCTAGTATCCGGGAAGGAACCCATGGAGCTGAGATGTAAAATGACCCACCAATGGATGAAATGCTAGTTGCGGAGGGAAAGTGACTAGTGAGTGCCTTGACCTCTTGCCTCTGAGCCTGATGCTCTTTGGTGCTCTTTCCACTCCAGCACAGGGGTTCATCACTGACCACGTCTGTCAGGCCTCGGGCTGAAAAGGATCTGGAGAACACCAGAGGTCAGGCGGTCCTGGACAAAGGACACAGGCTTCTAGAGGCTGGGGCTCCCTGGTGAAAGGCCCTCCCTGGGTTGTTTCCTGCTTTAGTAGCTCCTCCATCCACCACAGCCACTGGCTTCCAGAGGCTGGGCTCCCTGCTCCTTTCTGGAGTTCAATACCACACTCTGATGGAGCCCATGCTCCTGTGCTCTTCTTGTCTGGGCCCCGAGGGGGACTTCCATAGGGAAGTGCCACACAGAGCCTCAAAACTTCATTCCTTCCTCTGCTCCAGTTTCTAGCAGTGGCCACACAGAAGCAGACCCCAGAATGTTTTAGAGTAGGAAAGGCCCCTCAGATCTCATAGGCCACAAGAAAGTGGACGGGAAAGCCCCTTGGGTTAAGTTGGTAGCAGAAATGAGCTCAGACTTCAGGTCTGTTTATTCTGCTTAGAGGCTGCCATTGTCCAGGCACAGACAGACCAGAGGAGTGTGCAGACAGGCAGAACTGGAGGACTCTGCCCTTCTCCGAACGACAGGTTTTTGCTACATGCCTGCCCTTGTGAAAGTCATCCTTAGGGCCCTATGGGGTTTCCAGTCCCTCATTTTCATCTCTGCAGTCACATGGGGACCCACTTAGTGAGGTCAGGAGCAAAAAAGCAATCTATGAAGAGAAGGTGCCTGAGAAGCAAGAACAAGCCCCGGGTAGGAAAAGAGTCATTTAGCCCTACAAAGACAAACTCTACGTGTCAGAAATGGAAGAAGCTGGGCAGTAAAGAACAGTGGGAGACTGGCAACATGATTTTTGTATTGACATTTGGTTCTTATAATAACATCCAAAATGCGTTCTGTTCTTATAGTGCTGCAGCTGGGACTGCATCGGACCAAGTGTATATGTTGCCGGAGTCTCCTTTGAGAAGTATGGGGCAGCTGGTGGGGAGAGAAACACTGATTTCTCTATGGGACCTATATGCAGCCAGGTGGAAAGCTGCAGCAAGTGCTTTGGCTCTGACAGGCAGGGGGGAGGCAATTCCAGCCGGCCCGCAAACACATGGGCAGAGTCCCTTGCCCCCAGCCCGCAAGAACACGGTTGCTGATGGGGCCAGCAATGGCAGCTCCAGGAGAGTGGAGGGGAGGCTGGGATGTTACATTCTTGAGGCCTTCACAGGTACATGTCATCGTAGCCCGGCGGGGGGAGATGGTCTGGGTTAGGTCTGGAATGGAAAGAGGGGCTGGTGAGTTGGGAGTGATGAATGCGGTCCTGAGCTGAGGGAGTCTGTCCACCAGAACAATGCAGGATTTTGTGGGGTTTAAGAGCATGTGCTCTATGGTCATGGTTTGAATCCTGATTCTCCCACCTTGGAGAGTTAATTCATCTTTCAAGGCCTTGATTTATATAGGATGTGGACAGTAATATGCACCCAGGAATCCTGAGTTCCTGATGCAGATTAAATTTCCTCAAGTATGAGCAGCTCCTCCTCTGAGTGCTCCCTGAGAGGGGCTGGAGGAAGGGAGGCATTGAGGGATCGGGAGCTCCAGGGAAGTATCAGGCAGGGGCCTGGAGGAGGCTCCATTCCCTTGGCAGTGGTGGATGGAGCCCAGTGGTGACTCTGTACCTGGAGTCAGATCCCTGGTTCCTGCAACACGGAGCAGAGCTGCCATCAGGCCCTACTTTTCAGCAGGCCTGAGTACCTACCCAGATGGGCTGGTCCCAATGGGTCCAAAGGGGTCAAAGCGTGCTCCTGGGGGCACAGCGCCTGGAGGAAGACGGTTTGGGAGGCCCGAGGATGGGTCAATGAGTGCTCTTGGGAAGCCAGATCTCAGGGGATCCACGATCATGCCACCTCTTCGACACCTGAGGCAAGAAAAGATGTGTGAGCAGGAGTGGCAAGCAGCTGTGGAGAAGGGGCGAAGGAGGGGAAAAGGGACCAAGAATGTGGGTGGGTATGTACTCTGCACAGCTCAAGCAGATGTAGGTGGATGGTTGCCTGAGCGCCATCTTGCGCAGGAAGTGTGCAAGAACAAGAATGCAAAGAGCACACCTTTCTTGACGCTCATGGCCTGGCCTGCTAGCTCTTCGGGCTCCCTGAACCCACAAAATTGAGATTCCTGCCATGTCCTACTTGCAGGGGGGACAATTTTATCAAGAATAGGTGCCACGGGTGCCGGGGTGGCTCAGTCGGTTAAGCGTTTGCCTTTGGCTCAGGTCGTGATCCCAAGGTCTAGGATCAAGCCAAGCACTGGGCTCCCTGCTCAGTGGGGAGCCTGCTTCTCCCTCTTCCTCTGTGCCTCCCCCTGCTCATTCTCTCTCTCTCCAAAATGAATGAATGAATGAATGAATGAATGAATATAATAAATAAAAAGAACAGGTGCTGGAACCTGCCAAGGTCAATGTAAATCCATCACAAGGCTCTGCAGAGTACTACTTTAGATCTAAGGACTAGTAGTAGCTTGGAGACAATTCACAAGGCTGGCTTTCTTGTGCTTCCTTAGAGGGGCTCAGGGTGATCCATGACAGCACGTAGGTTGCCCAAGTCTGGCTCCTGTCAGCATGGAGTTCCATGGACCCAACCCCTTGTGCTCAAAGCAGGATGAGTGAGCTGATGTTCCCCAAAATTTGAGGTCACTGTTCCAGCTTAACTATAGGCTCCTGTGATTTCCCACTGTCTAAAAGAAAGGCTCAAGTTGGGGTCACTCTGCAGCAGAGGTTAAAATCTACTCAGAAGCATTCAGGGAAGACAGGGCATAGCTAGGCTGTAATGACTTTGTTGGGTGCTTGACAACCACCACACACAGTCTAATGGGGAACAGAGACTCCCCCAAGCAAGTAACGTTGACCTCTGAATAGCCCTGAACTGCCCATCAGTCTGTGGCCCCCCCGTGTGCTCTTCAGTCTGCACCTGAGAAACCTTCCATCCAAGGGAGGCTGTGGTCCTCCACCAGGGCCAGTAGGCTAAGGCATGACAGAGGCTGCTAGCTGGGCTTGCTCAGTCATTCCCAAAACACAGGGCTTTCTGGCACTGCTCCGGGCACAGCAGAGCAGAACAGCGGCAGTGACTTGTTGGCTGCTCAGCCACAGCAGCCTCCTTCACCCCAAAGGAGTCTGACGAAAAGCTCTAAGATTAGAAGATGAGCTGGGCTGAAAAGTCACAAGAGTAGGTTGTGTTGCTGCCCCCTCCCCAGCAGTACTCACCCAAAGGGGTCCAGGTCCTCTCCCCCGACAGCAAATGGGCCCAGGGGATCACACCTGAAACAAACAAGGGGCAATTACCATAAGTCCCAGAGCAGTTGGGCTCGTGGGTTCCCAGGGGCTTGAATCTGACACCTGTAGGGCCCAAATGCATTCCCCGGTATGGGGGGAGGGGAAAACCTGTGCCTGAGACCATAACACACCAGACACTTCAAAGTGGTCTTCGGCACAGACCAACACTGATAATATTACAGAGGCAATAGGAAAGGAGCTGAACACGAAGCTGAAAACAAGGAGGATCTCCAGACTGTCAAAAATACAAATATTAACTGTGGTAACCTCCAGATAAATTTTATTTATTTACACATTTCTCAAGTTCTTAAACTTTGTGTAAAGAACCAAGAACTTTTAGATCAGAAAATATTGGAAAACCAAAACCAGAACTCCAAGACTAAGATTTAAAAGCTTCCAGGAGTGGAGTGAGATGGGTGCCCACACACAGCTAGAACAGGGCTCCTCGGCCTTTTTCCATGATGGCCTCTGTATGACACTCAATCCCAGTACAGTCTGTGTACTCACTGCAGCCCCCTGGAGGGCCACAAACCACTGCAACCTCAGAGTTTTTCACCCCCATACCAAGAGCCCATTTTTGCTCTCCCTGGGTATGCACGAGCTAGGAGCATGAAATGAGGGCATGCTTTCCGGAGAGCAGTTCTATACTGTCTAACGTATATACCACATATGCATCTTTCAGAAGTCAGGTATTTTCAAACTCTTTGATCCAACAGTTTTATATCTAGGTATCTGTCTTAAAGAACACATCATTCAAATGAAAATATCACATAGAGGCTTTAATCAAGGGAACTGGAATTGGCCTAGATAGCGGCTAGATATGGTATATTCCTAAATGCAATTATGAAGACCATATATTCTTAGAGTGTTTTAAACTGATGAGAAAAAAATGTTTATGCTTTGGTGTTGACTGTGGGGGAAAAGGGAGAGTCTAGGAAATCAAGGGTGAGAAATGTGTGTGTGGGTGTGTATGTATAAATAAAACTAGAAAGAATCACACTGAAAATATAAACAGTGATAGTTACTCCTGGGATAATTTTCTTTATACTTTCCTGTTTTGTTTTTTTTTTCTATAAAGGATATAGATATAATAAAAACAAAAAAGATTTAGAATTTGCAAAAGTGTGCTTTGGAGTCTGCATGGAGCCCTAGTGAGCAATATGAACCTGGCAGTTCTGTGTTTGGGGTGGGGCAGCGGTGGGGGAGGGCGGGTCTTGCCAGACCTTAGGAGCTTTGTAAACTTGTAAACAGCAGCTAATAAATGCTTATAGGTAAGAAGCCCTTAGTTAAAGAACTGGGGAAAAAAAGTCTAAATGAGGTGTTTCTTCAGTCAGTTCTACCTAATAATGCTAGAAAAGATACTGTAATTTAGGTGGATGTGGCTAGATTTCCAAGGGAAGGAATTTTTCCTGACCTAGATGACTGTTCCCAAGTCATGGTTCATGGAGCTGGTGGTGGAAGTTTCTGGTGACCTCTGTTATCATCCTGCCACCCTTGATACACCAGGTATACTGGAGAGCTGAGAGTATCTTACCTGTTATCCCCAAGACCTGCTCTGCTACAGATCAGCAAACAGAAGGGGCTTCAAATGGCTATAAAAATGCCTGGGAGAACAGAGAGCCAAATTGCTCCTGAAACACACAGCTTTCTTTCTCTCTCCCAGGCCACAGAGCATGGCACAGGGGAAGAAACAGGGAACAATGAAGGCTGGAAAGGCAGCTGCCAGGCCCACCCCAACCACTGTGTACTTGAAATTGTCACAGCATATCCTTTGACTCAACATACTTAATGCAGCCTTCATTATAACACATGCACACTACTCTGAACTCGTTAAATACATGCTCGGAACCCACATTAAAATAGTCTCAGTCCAGAATGTGTTGAATGAGGCAGATTACAAGAATTAAAAGAAAGGTAATTTTTGTATATAGTCTCTCTGAAATCAAGCCCCTACTACTTCATCTGAAATCAACTGAAGGAGAGTGTTACACACTAATGCTGTAGGCAAAAGTGCCTGGCTGGGTTCATGTGGTGGTATGTCCTAGCTCCTACAGGGGCTCCGCTAGGGGATTTGAGTGTGATCCTGACCACAATTTCCTCCTTCTGTGCTCCCCCTCCTCTTAGATAAAAACAACACTCCTCACTTCTGCTATCTAAAAAAGGTTTTGCACCAGTCTTACGGAAAAAAACAAAACAAAACCAATACCTGGTTTTCAGAGCTCTTTTGATTTCAAAATTGCACATAAAAGACCGTGGGCCCATCAAAGTAAAAATGATCCCTCTCACCCCTGTTCCCAGCCTCCCAGGTCTTCCTATAGACAACTAAGATATCAGTTTCTTACATGTCTTCCCAAAGATACTCTGCACATATAGACAGCAAGTATGTATCTCTCCTACTTTTTTTAAACAGATGAATGTGCTCAACTCCTTATATACATTATCTTATTTCATCTTTGCAGTAGCCCTCTAAGCACATATGTTCTTTAGTATTATTTTACAGATGAGTAAACTGAAGCTCAGAGAAGCAAGGTTTCTATACAAGGCCACACAGGTAGTTAAGTGTCGGCCCAACTTCAAAAACCATGCTGTTTTAACTGATGTGTTGAAACTGTTTACATTTAATGTGATTTTTTGGTGAGATGTTTAGATTTATATCTACCATTTATTATTTGTTTTCCAACTGTTTCCTGTTTTTCATTCCTCTGTTTCCTCTCTCTTTTTTATTCAATTTTAGTGTTTCTGACTAGATCTCTTTGCAGAGTTGTTTTCCCAGTGATTGTTCCAGGGATTGAGTGTACTTAATTTCTTCAGTCTACTTAGAAACAGTATTTTAGGGGCATCGGGGTGGCTCAGTCAGTTAAACGCCTGCCTTTGGCTCAGGTCATTATCTTGGAGTTCTGGGATCAAGACCCAAGACAGGCTCCTTGCCCAGTGGGGAGTCTGCTTCTCCCTCTATCCCTCACCCTACTTGTGCTGTTTCTCAAATAAATAAATAAAATCTTTTTTAAAAACCCCAGTATTTTACCATTTCAAGTAGAAGGCAGAGAACAAACCAGCACATACAGGTCCATTTATTCTCCTCCCTTTATGCTGCAGTTGTTCCACATTACACTAACATACACTAAGATGCTCAATTTTTGCTTTCAACTCTAACACATTTTGGAGAATTCAAGATTGGAACAGTGAATTATATTTACTTAGACATTTACCATTTCTATTGCTTTCTTTTATTCCTGATGTTCCAAGTCTCCATCTGGTATCATTTCCCTTCTGTCTGAAGAACTTCCTTTAGCAATTCCTTTTGAGAAGAGCTGTTGACTATAAATTCTCTTAGTGTCCTTTCACTAAGAATATCTTAATATCCTTCGGAAATAAAGCAAAATATTTGCTGGATACAGAATTCTGGGTTAACAATTCTTCTTATTTTACGAGTATTGATCTACTTCTTCCTGGTGTCCATGATCTCTAATGAGAAATCCACACTTAAGTTCTTACTCTTCTATAAGCAAGTCATTGTTTTTCCCTTGCTGCTTTCATTAATTTTTTTTCTTGATTTTTAGTTTTTAGCAGTGTGATTAGATGTCTGTGCGTGGACTTCCTTGGGTTTATTCTATCCAGGGTTTGCTGAGCTTTTTGAATTTGTGGGTTTATGTCTTTTGCCAAATCTGGGAAATTTCATCCATTATTCTCTTGAAATAATTTTTCTGTGCTGTACTCTTTCTCCTCTTCCTCTGAGACTCTGATCACCGCAATGTTAGACTTTTTATAATTGGCTCACAAATCCCTGAAACTTCATTTTTAAATCTTTCTTTTTTTCTGTGTTCAGACAGGATAATTTCTAGTGCTCTATCTTCAAGTTCACTCTTTCTTCTGTTATTTCCATTCTGATACTCATTCATCCAGTGAGGTTATTTTGATTATTTTTCATTTCTAAAATTTCCATTTGGCTCTTCTTTTATCTTCTATTTCTTTGCTGAGACCTATTATCCCACTCATTTCAAGACTATCTGTCTTCACTTCTTGGAGCATTTTTATAATAGCTACTTAATATCTTTGCTTGCCAGATAATTCCAACATCTGTGTCATCTTGGTGCTGGCATCTGTTTGTTGTCTTTTTGTGAGTTGAAGTTTCCTTGGTTCTTTGTATGTCCAGTGATTTAGGACTATATCCGGCAAAACTTGAACATTTGTTATGAGGCTCGATGAATCCTGGTACTTTTGTTTTAGTAGGCAATCAACATAGCTGGGTTCAGAATCCAAATTCTGGTTTCAATGTCAGTTCTGTTTTCAACGCCTTTTGCAGTGCTATTCAGTTTTGTACCACATATGTGCTACAAAGCATTGTCTGAACCACGTAGGCAGTTTTACTCAAACTGTACTGTGCACATTAATCAGTGGCAGATCTTACTAAACTGTAGATTTTAATACGGAAGACCAAGATTGGGACTCGATATTCTGCATTTTTTATAAGCTCCCAAGTGACATGATTTTGCTAGTCTGGAGAACACAGATGGCTAGGCCTGTCAGGTTCAAGTTCAGCTATGAAATTTTGGTGGTCTGGAATTATTTACTTTGTTCTACTAAGTGTGGAAACCTAGGACTGGGGACATGGAGATGCTGAGAACTGTAGACAAAAGCGTGTACGTGCTCATGTAGTAGAGTGCTCTGAGCAAGGAGGGCATGAACCCTTTCCTTTTCCCCACCCTGAGAATATCCTGTGAGTTCAAGGGTGAGCTGGGGACTGAAAATGGCTGGGAAGTATTGTGCTTAGGCTAGGTGAACACAGATTTTTAAAAGAAAAAAAAGAAAAAGATATGCATACATTATACTAACTGTAAGAAAAATGTCACCATAATCTAACATAATGATTCTTTTTGTTCTTCTTTTCTAGTCTTCTTTCATAAACATGCTTTTATAAAAGTATAGTATTGTAATTTCAGGTCCCATGGTTTTCCTCCACTTATGTCCTGTATTTCTTGAGTTGT